GCAGATAAAGGAGGAGTGGGCTCTGGTGTCCACAGTTCAGGAGTAGAGCATTCACAGATGTGTTGTAGCTATAGTCAAATAAATTTATTTTGTACTTTTTAATGATTTTAAGTAAAATATCCTTACTGAAATAAAAAAAGTTGCTATGATTTTAAATTTAGCATAATTGTAAGAATTACCTATTTAGATTAAATATGAAATGTGTAATTTCTGCAACAAATGGCTTTTGAGTATCAGAGAATGACTTCTATGGTCATACTGTAAGTTTAGTATATTCCTTTAAATATATTTTTAGTCAGAAATGTAATATTTTTATATATTTTAGTAACAGACATACATTTAGTTATATTTTCTGTCATGCAAAAAAAACGAATAAATTAATAATAATAATAAACTTAGTTTTTATTTCTCCCATTTGCAGCTGGAGAGACAAACCTATTTATATTATGTTTTTATGTCTAGCCCAGTTAAGATGCTCAAACAAACAGATTGTAATTTGGTACCACTAGCACAGTAATTACATACTTCAACCAATAAAAAAATTAAGTTGTACTTTAAAACTTTTTTTTTCTCTGTTGTTTTAATTATGTGCTTCAACTTACATTAAAAAAATAAACAGCATCACACAAAAACACTTCTAAACACCATCTGTATGATTTATAAGCTTGTTTCCTCATGGGGACCTCAAAAATGTCCCCACAAGGTCAAAATTTACTAGTATTACTATCCTTGTGGGGACATTTGGTCCCCATAACGTGATAAATACCAGGTACACACACACACACACACACACACTTACTTCAGACACCACTTTCTCCCTTATACACACAAACTTTGCATAGTCTCTTCCTCTCCCACATCATTTGTCCTTTTTTCAAAACTTTCCTTTTCTCTTTTCACTCATCCTATGAACTTGATTCTTCTCTTTTCAGAATGTCATCTGCTTTCTCTTTCATGCTCTCTTTCTACCACACAAACTGACTGCATCATGTCTGAACATCTCTTATCTTTCTTCCGCTTTAATCTCATCAGACATTCTTCTGCTAGCTTATTCTGGCTGTGTTAGGACTGCACAGAGCTTGTCTGCGCTTTACTCTCTAAACACTGCGATGTGTAAGAAAAAAAGACAGGTCACTACCTTACAACTCTCCTGGCTTTATTGCCTCTTAATCTGTCACAATCTGCAGTCAGCTCTTCCATTCCCTTTGAGAATTTTCCCCATGGAAGTCTTCGGCAAGAGAGGAAGCCAATAAAACCTAAGTATTTAATTACAACAATCCTAAGCAAATGCTTGAGTGGGAATTGTGACTTTTTGGATGGCCGAGTGGAGGGATCGGCGATAAAATACAAAGCAGATGTCCACGCTTCAAAGCCTGGCCAGATGAAGACATCACTATTTTTTCATCTTCACTTGTCTGTACAACATTCACGGGAGATGAAAATGTTCAAGCAGGAGCTTGAACTGGTATTAGAGCTGGCCTGCAGATGCTGCAGTGAAAACAATTTGCTTCGAATTTGTCTTCCTTCTTTTTGCAGAACACACGTCATATGGCAAGCCTCGCAGACATCACTTTCAATCATATAAAGAATCTGTTCGTACAAATCCTTTTCCCAGGCTGACGCTGTCCTGGAAACAGATGCTCTGCATTTCAAGAATTTTCCAGCATTCATAGCAAAGACATTTTCTTTTTTGTGATGCACTTATAGTAAGCTTGCATAGACCATTCAAAAGTAATCTCGTATGACAAATATGCTCTGCGTATGTCTCATATTGCTGTCGTGATGGCTAAAACAGATTGCGTATGGCCATAGTTAAAAACATCCCCCACAGTCGATACAAGAGGGGCGCTTTGAAAGTAAATATTTCACTGTGACCTTTCAGTGGATTTTACAAGCTAGTTAAGGTGTTTTAGAGGGGCTTGGCTGTTTCACACACTTAGTTTCTTCCACAATTACACAAACAGTCTCTATGGGAGTACAGAACGTCGAGCAGATCGACGCAGTGAATGCAGTATAACCTTAGAGTTCACTCTGTAAATGCAAATAACAAAACAAGCGTGTAATAAAAAGCAAGACTCCTCTCCATAAAGAGAGAGTGCGATGCAGAGCACGCTATGGCTGAGGTGGAAGGAAATGATCCAATGACACACAAATGTCAGCTCTAATGATCCTCCAGGGCACCTTTTAGCAGTGGCAGCTTGTTTCTCATGCAAACCAGGCCCTGATACGTCTCTCTCTCTCTCTCTTCTGCATCCTATTTCTTTTCATATGTCCTCCTTGTCACTTTTTGTGCAAATTTTGGGACTGGCTGGGGTAGTGCAAGCACTGGGGAGGCCAGATAAATCCCGAAAGAAGCCGTTAGAGAGAGAGCATGACTGATGTTAGTGATATTGTAGGGCAAATTTGTGCCTCTGGGTGCACAACCTGACCACCATCCACAACGCAACAAATCAAAGGCTTTGATTTTCCATTCAAAAGCATTCCAAGGAGTTTGTTATGAAAGTACAAACACACAAACACAAATGGCTTTTCAGTCTCAAAGAATGACATCTATGGTTATAAATGCAATCCTTTTTTTAAATATATATATTTTTTTGTCATATATTTAGTATTCTTGATATTTTTAGGCATGGTCCATATAACTTAATTTGTAATTTTTGGTATTTTAAGTCATAGTAAAAAGTCATATATTTTTTATATTTTTAGTCATATTTATACATTTAGTATTTTTAATACTTTAGTCAATGTTATAAATTTTGTAAATGTAGTCTTATATTTATAGTCAGACAATATTTAGAAATGAATAATTATTTTATATATATATATATATATATATATATATATATATACACAGTATATATGCACTGACTAGTTGGTAGTCATATATGTAGCATTTTTATATTTATAGTTCATTGATATTGATTCATTTTACATTATTTGTAATCATTATTTGTTTGTCAGTAAATACTCATGAATTCTTTTTTTTTTGGTCATAATATTTGTTCTTTTATTATTATATATTTTTAATGTTGTAATCAGTAGTCACAGATTTAGTATTTCTTATTTTTATAGTCAGTCGGTATTTATTATTATTATTATTATTACTTGCTGAGACAGCTTACACTATGTTGCTTAATTTTTGATCAAATGTATATTTACTGTTGAAAAGTTAGGCTTGAAAGAATGTGGATACTGTATCTCCACATGTTAAGTTTACAAACAGTCTGAATTAATGCCCCTGTAACTCTTGGATCAGGAAGATAAATGATGTGCACAATGAACATTCTAGAATTGCACATCAAATCGTGTGTCTCTAAATCCCCTTTAAGTCTGACAGATATCTCCATAAAACAAAAGGCCTTTTGAGAGAAACCAGAGCATGTATCCATTACAAGCTTTTTTCCACTATCATCATTGACAGAATGCAAGAAGAGACAACTTCCCAGGCCTGCTTAACTTCCAGGAGAAGCTTGCTTCTTCTATACTGCCAGCAGAGATTGGTGATTATGACTGGCTTACTCATACATTTTCGCTCTTGTCAAAACATTGATAAATGGGTCAAAAGTGTAAAATGGAATCACCATGGAAATGCTTTAGACTTCAAAGGCAGAAAGTTTGGCAGGACATTCTCTGTGTCATGTTCTGATCAGTCTCAGGATATGACGCTTTCCAGAGCCGCTCTGCTCGATGAGGAACTGTGCTTCAAAGTGACATTGCTGTTTATGGGTGAAGTCTCCGGGCTTTCATTGTTGGAGAAGCAACTTTGATGCTGTACACATAATTTAAAGTAGATGAACTACAGTAAAGCTACCCTTTCAAAAGCATAGATAGATAATAAAATAAAATAAAATAAATAAAATAAAATAATTAACATAAAATACCACCAATAAAACACCTAATTAAACCATTAAAACAATAAAAAAAAAAAATGTAAATTTTTAAATGGTTGTTTTTAATATTTAAATATTATTGCATTCAAATATTAATCAAACTAAATTATATAATAAATATTATATTTTGTATGTAACAACAGCACCTCCACCAACAACAAAACATGTTTTATTCATTTTTAATTAACTGTCTGAGTTTAGTAGTTAGTCACCTCAACACTGCTAGCTGTTGAGGAGAACTATTATTGGAGGGGTGAGTCAATATGTGTGTGTGTGTGTGTGTGTGTGTACCTACTTAACCATATTTTGGGGACAAATTTGTACCCAAACGTGAGCTAAACCTTACAAAATATCCCTTTGGGGACGTCCTCATTTGTAAAACTGGTATAAAAATAAAGTAAACAAAGATTTTTTAAAATGGTAAAAATGCAGAAAGTTTCCTGTAAGGGTTGGTGTAGGGTGATAGAAAATACAGTTTGTACAGTATAAAAACCATTACGCCTATGGAATGTCCCCATTTAGATAGCTAAGTAAACGTGTGTGTGTGTGTTTTTAGGTTGATGTGGGTGAGTGCTTATAACATGGTGTAGATTTAAGTTATAGTTATTCTTCAGCCCAAGGGATTTTCAGGATTCTAGTTTCAATCCTTGCCTTAGGCACAACATAAAAAAATATAAGTTCAAAAAGACACACACATACTCATGTAAAATGCAGTTAGATTTTCACAAACACAACATATATCCTTTGGCAGGTACATACAACATAAATAACGCAGACCCTAAATCTCTAGGGCTTTAACCTCGGCACACACACATCCACACACCGCATATTCAACAAAAGCACATACTGTATGGTTTATGTACAGGTACACAGATTTCCAAACCATTCACATCCCCGGGCACAAATGCCTTCTACACATGTACACATAAATTCAAACTAATGCACACACTCATCTGATGATCACAGTTTTGTTGGATCCATGCTCACTATAAATCTGACCCGAGAGTGTAATTATGTGTTATTCTCCCTTTAGATCACTGCAGTGTCACTGTGTGTGGGCATGTGCACATGGACTGTAGTTGTTATGTGTGTGTGTTGGCCAGTGTCCATAAGTATAGTGTGTGGGTGCTCAAAAATATGTATCTTTTAAGTATATATCTAACGATAAACACTTTTGCGCAGCTTTGTGTTTGCCTGTGATCAGATGGAGTATGATGAAAGAGATGGCCTTTCATATCTCGCTATCTGACCAACAGCACTGTTGTTCTCTTACGGGTCATGCTCCGCAAAAGACCTCTGACAGGAAGCAATTAGGCTGTTGTTTGTGCATTGTTTGTACTTCCTGTTTTCGTCTGAGAGGGGTGAGCTCAGTCTCTTCACAATGCCCCAATGAACAGATGCACAAAGCCAAACCAGGCTCAGACATGTTAGGAAGCCGACATAAATCACATTAGCCTTGAAACTGAGACGATAGCATCATCTAAACATGAGCTTTGTCTGTTTGGTTGTGTTGCCATTGTACTTGACTTCCAGACAATGTAGATGGTGATAAGGTGGGACTGAGCTCCCAAAAAAAAAAAAAAAAATTCCCTGTTGATGCTTTACAGGAGAAACCATTCCATAAATGATATGTAAACGGTGAACTGGAACGCAGCTTGAACAGGAATTTGATAACAGCAAACTTCAAAGACCACAGCTGTAAGAATAGCATACAACCAGCTTCAGTTACCTCAACAAATGCCTTTGCTCACCATATACAAACAGTAAGCACTGAAAGACAATCCAAAGTTGAGAACAACTGTTTACTAGCATATGGTAAGGAGATGGATGACCAGCAGTTAATGTTTGCTAATGCTGGAATATCTAGGAAATTAACAAAATATCAAGACTAGTTCAGACAGCATGTTCCTTGAGAATCTGGATGGTCAGCTAAACATGTTCCTACTGAAGCAAAATGAAATAGACAGACAGACATACATAGATATAGATAGATGGATAGATAGATAGATATAGATAGATAGATAGATAGAAAGAAACATGAATGGATTAATAAATACATTTTAAACTCTATGCTGATATTTAGCTGATTTTCATTTTAAACACAATATTGCCGGTTCGAAAATAGTTCAGAAAGAAGTGACAGGAAACTTGCCATCTCCAAGCAACACAAAGTTCCTGAATGAAATGGCATTTTTAAAAAGAATCTTTTGATCGAAGAATTCAATGACTCACCAATAAATACAGTCACTTTGTTTCTTTCTTAAATGAATTGGCATTTTTTTTTAAATATTATTTGAATGAATGTCTCAAATCCCTCACAGACACAGTCACTTACTCCATTTCTGAATGAATCAGCATTTTTTAATGAATCTTTTTAGTCAATGATTGATTGACTCACTCACTTAAAAAGACAGTCAAGTTTAGTTTCTGAATGAATCCACTTTCTAAGCAAATCGGTTGAGTGAATGATTCAATGATTCACTGATAAGACAATGGCTGCATCCAAAATCTAATACTTCCCTACCGTATAGTAGGGAAAACAGTATGTGACAAAAGTAGCATGACAGAATTCACAGTACTCATAAAACATTAGGCAAAAAGTATACTCGGATGACCACCTACTTCCAGCATGATTCTGATGTGTGCATATACGATGGACACTTTACTATCCCATGAGGCCACAGGGGAGGATTAATGAATGGCTGTGACCAGTGGTGGAAAGAGTACTGAAAAAATATACTCAAGTAAAAGTACCATTACCTTCCAAAAAATGTAGTGTGAGTTGAGTAAAACTACTTGTCCAAAAAACTACTTGAGTAAGAGTAAAAGAGTAGCCTATTTAAAAGTACTCATGAGTATTGAGTAGTGAGTACTGAGCTGTGGATTCTACCCCCTCATAATAAACGTTGTACACCGCAATTGATACATTTTAAAAACGTTGTACATTCTGTAATTCACATTATCTTATTTGTCAGAAAGAATGAAGAGTATCTATCATCCAGCAGTTTTAATTTTAACTGCCAACTCTTTAAAATACATCAAAACAGCACGGAAACAGTATTCAGTTGAAGAAAAGATGAAAAATAACTAAACTTGATAATTTATGTTACAATTTTAACAAATGCACATTGTTCTAGAAGGATGGCAAATTCATGCCATACCTTTTACACATTTACTCAACTTGTTATGCTGATAATACAATTTGTAAGGAAAAATGTGTCACAAAGCAAGGCCAGACACAACAGGTAAGTGCAAATCAGGATGGTTTATTGACTGGGTAAGGGGATGACTGGAATAGATGTGTTCAAGGCAGGTGAGTGTCAACACAGTGAATGGTTCCAGGGTGCTTATCTGAGTTCTGATGGTGAGGATCGGATGCCGGTTACGTTGGAA